TCGATCTGCATTCCAAGATATGTATGGGTATTGACGAGATCTATAGAGGGGCAACTGCAAGTGTTTTTACAAGACGAGTGAAGGCAATTATGATCGTGAGCAACAATGTGCTTGGATAAAGTACACTTGATATAAGGAGACTTTATGTGTAACAGCTTGGTTTTAGAGGAGTTCAGAACCAATCCAGCGTCATGACACCATTTTGCAAGCATATTAAAGTCAGACTGTAACTGGTCACATGCTATATCAGGGTCTTTATCGGCGACTAGCAAACATGTGTCATCAGCAAACTGGTAGCATGAACAGTGATTTATGTAAAAATGCATGTCGTTTACATATGATAGAAAATGGAGGGGGCCAAGCACAGATCCCTGTGCTGTGCCTTCAGTTACAGTCACTGGGTCGCTGTGTGTGTCATTTATTCTCACAGAGAATTTCCTATTTTTGAGATAATTTGTACACCATTTCAGAAGAGGTCCCCGTATTCCACAATCGTCCAACTTAGTGATGATTTTTTTATGATCAAGAGTGTCGAATGCCCGTGAAAAGTCAATAAATAGGACGAGTACATGGTTTTTGTTATTTAGATACTCGTTAATTTCATCTGTTAACTTCATCAAAAGATCATTTGAACCCTTCCCAGCTTGAAAACCAAACTGATTTTCATATATTACATCGTGCGTATTGTAGAATTTATAAATTTGTTCACACACATACTTTTCTACAATTTTGTTAATTGAAGATAATAAGGTGATTGGTCGATAGTTCAGGAAATCATCCCGTCTTCCTTTCTTGTATATTGGTCTAACACATCCTATCTTTAGTTCGTCGGGATAAATGCCAGTTTCAACACTTGTATTAATTAGGTTGGCAATGGCCGAGGCCCCTTCTGTGTCCATACATTTTATATCAGAAACCCCAATATTATCAGAGCCTGGTGCCTTTTTAGAGTTAAGTTTTTTGATTATTTTATTAACCTTGTCACGGGTTGCTTTTTGAAAATATATACTAGAATTATATGGCTGACCTTAAGATTTATTTAAGTTTTATGTGTAGTTATGCTATTATATTGTTTTTTGTGGTTAATTGTGTAACATACATGATTGTAAGCAGTTATTTAAAAAAAGTCCCGCTGGGTTTCTTGGTGGTTCTTCCCAGGACTGAGGTTTTTTTCGAACCAGTGGTAATGAAACAAAAGGGTGACTTTCAATAAGTATTATTTATAATCTATATTGAATAAAAAAGTTTGTTTCTGTTTCTATAACAGCTAAACATAGACTATGGATTGTAGAGTAGGAGAACCATCTTATAAGGTGCGAAAGTTGAAATAGTGTTCCAATATATACTGAAAATAGAGGTTCCAAAACCTACCACAATAGCATTGGCGTCTAAAAAACTACGATATGAATAAAGCTGTTGTAGATGGAGTGAAGTCAACTGAATTCAAATATTTAAAAAACTTCATGACTAGAGTAGTTAGTAAAATTCCAGTATATAAAACCTCGACTATTTACGTAGAAAAATAACCAAGCGGATTGGTCAGTCCTTGTTTATTTATCCATCTTATTCTAATTAATTTTGGCGCTTTTTTTAAATTTATCCTATGCTACTGCAGCGCCACCCTTATTGGACACGTTTTTAGGGACACTTTTCATATACAGAGATCGTAGAGGGAGTAGTTCATTCTCTCTCTACGTCAGAGATGGTCCTCCTTCTACTCTACACACCATAACATAAACTAAGGTCGGCTACACACCATCAGAATTCCGTTTTGATCACAAAATCACAAAAGAAGTAAATAGCAATAATGTGATTAAAAATTACTTCTTAATGAAAGGCAACGCCATATTTTTCTAAATTTGACGTGGCAGATCTCTTTTTGCAGCAAAAAAAAAACTGAATAATTCGATATTTTTCTAGGATGTTGATTCAGCTCCGCAGTTAGACTTAGACTGTGGCTGCTACTAGTTTTATTGTACGAACAGGACCGCGTGGACTTGTACTTTGACAAATGGGAACGCTTGCGTATGGCTAGTCCCCTCGGGTCCGCCGGTGACCCGTATTTCTCTATGATCCTAAGCATTATAACTACGTTTTTTTTTTGTTTTACCTCTATATCATCCAATTATATACTCGTAGTCCGTGATATTGCTGAATGGTGATATAATCTTTTGATCTCTAGATAGACTATTAGCACCACTGACCTGCACAAACTATAACTACTAGTTTGTTGACACTTCCTTATATACCCTTGATCGGGACGGCAAATATCCTTTTTTTACTAACCTCCTGAGTTCCTTTGCACTTCGATCGATAAAATGAATACATCTGTAAGCTGTTACTGTGTGTTACTAGCTTTAAAATATCATATTTTCTCACTAAACTCGGACTAAATAGTTAACATCAAAGTTTTACATTTTACGCGTATTGTGTTGGCGAGTTACGTATATCATTCATGCTGTTTCCATTTTTCTCTAACTGAGTGATGCCGCCCACCCAGCTACAGAATGCAATCGACGTCGTCAATTCGACCATTATTTATTGTTACGGCCTACAGCTGCTCCAGCAAGGGTCGAATCTTCTGGGGCCCATGAGCAGAAGGTTCCACGAGCAGCCGCAGGTCGGGCCCAAAATGGCCACATGGAAGAATTCCCTATAACACTAAGCTATATGGGAGAATGCTAGAAACACATATTACGTACCAGTATCCGGAGCTAACTTCGCACCTAGGCTCGGTCAGGCCGTGAGTGGGTGTGAGGTGAAAGGCAAGTAGTGTTCAGTGATGTGTAAATGTGTGAGACCTTGACCTCCTTAGGCGAACAGCAGCGGCCGAGTTCCATGCTGCCCCAAAACGCTGCATCGCTCCAGCAGGCTCCACCGCTGGACCACTTCCTTTTTCCTTGTCACTATTTCAGTCTGTTAGCTTCCTTGTACATTTAACTAACTTAAACTCGCCTAATTCCACATTCATCGTAGAATCGAACACGTGATACCCGACACAGTAACGGACAGTAGTTCAAAGTTCAACATTCAATGTCCCGGATTCACTTATCACAAAATTATAAAGAGGGAATTAAAGCGATCTCTTAATGAGTCATACTACTCAGCGTTAAACACAACTAAGTTCTTTCATTCGACACCAAAACACCACGTTGCGAAAAGATTCAAAATACGCCTCGTTGACATGTAAAATAACAAGCCAACACACACAAAAAAGAGCACTTAACGCGACGGCCCAATTATAATGATTTCCTGACGAGCAATCGGGAGAAGCTCTCGAACAAGGAATGCGCTGTTCGAATCCTAGACCGTATATCTACTCGACACGCGCGTGCACAATTCCGCATCCTCGAACAAGTTAAATATTGCAAAATTCACATATCCACGTAAGGAAGTAACACGCACTCAATCTAACTATCTGGACCCGACAACGGTCGCGTGAACCTCGGCCGCGCTAAACCAGCTATGCGGGTTCCCCACTTCGCGGCCAGTGGGCAACTCTTTTTTCGCCCACGCGTCGAGCTACTCAAGCCGCACACCGCCGTCCCACCTGGCGGCGTTTTTTTTCACCTACATCCTATCGGGTGACGCGACAGCTCGAACGCAATTGGATAGCGTTCAACATGACCAAATTTGGGCTTAAAAATTTATTATTTAATTATTTTAGTAGTTATTAGTACAGTAACTAACTTAAATGCTGCGTTTTATATATTTAATAAAATAAATTTAGTAAAATCAATTTCTTCAAGCGGTTGTAGGTATTGTTGTTTTTAATTAATGAAGTGACATTGCCATGCAAGAATTTTATCTGTGTGTTTGAGGTTATAATTTGATTATGAATGTATGTGTGGTTTTTTATTTTATGATGCCGTTTTAAGGGTCATTTTTTTAAGGATTTTTTACTTTTTTCAGAATAACATTCAAATGAGTCATGCAGAAAATTCAGAGTCTCCAACGATAACTAATCGTTCAAATTCTGATTTGCCAAAAAAGAAAAACGCACATAGACGATTATGCAGTTTTTCCGACATTTGGACGATAAATTAATCTTTCATTAGCTCAGTCCCAAAAAATAACTATAAAGCACTTTGCGCATTATAAATAAATTAAGCAATCATCACATTGCGCATCTTGTCAATAATAATTGAATATAACTTATGGCTGCCAAAATGGCTACAAAAACCTGTTTTCTATCTTTTATTTTATAATATTTGTAAACCAAATTCTCGATTGTTTTTACTTATCGTCTCTGTATTTAACCTACTGGACCTAGGAACACATACATATTTATAGCGAAAGGCCCTAGCACCGTATCTTGAAAAGCTAAAGGAGTAGTCAACGGCTTACTAGAAATCACAGGTGCTAGCAGTTATTTTATTTCTTTTAATGTTAAGAAAAATGTTGCAATTAACATAAAATAAAACATCACTTTTATTTTCAAATGAATACATAGTATTACAAATGAATACATATAGGACGAAACTTATTCAACATGGAATAATACTGCGTTTTCGTCGAGTGAAATGGTTGCAATTTCTTATTAACTAGTTAAGGACAGTTTTGTCTGTCTACGTTTGTAAACGAACGCAGAACTAAAGATATACGTTAAGGACATCGACGCGACGAGTGAGATAGATAGTTGAATCATTGTGTTCTCGACTGTATTTTCATAGGTGTAAAATAAAAAATCACATCAAGTAATTCGAAGACTGTAATTAGTAACTTGAACCCAGGACGTAAAACGGTTTCATCGTCGCAGAACACAAAACGGTATTTGTAAACGGTTCGTTGTCGCAACGCCCACCCCTAATAACCAATTCTCTATCTACGACTATAACCACAAACTAGTAAGAAGTGCTAGCGCACTGACTGCTGATTATAACGCAAAATTACAAAAAAAAAAAACTGGTAAAGAGTAAAACGTAGCGATTATATAATCCAGTAATCTATGATATACTCTTTGGTAGAAACTAGACAGTTGATAAATTTCTTTGCTATTTCTTTTTAATCTGTGTACCGTGCAGCGAGAAAATGGTGTGGAAATTGTTATGAAATAAAATAAAAATAGCAATAAAATACAATATTAAGAAACTATACATTATAAAGACACAAAATAGGTATAACATTTTGATAATTTTCACGTCACAACTAATAAACATTTTGGTTACTTTGAGGTTAATTTCTTATCTAATACTTTACAGAACTTATCAAGACTGTAAAATATGGATGAATATTCAAGAGAGCCGTGTCCATGGCGTGTACTTGATGATTCTGGTGGGGCTTTTATTATGGGGGCTATTGGAGGCGGCATATTCCACTCCATCAAAGGTTTTAGAAATGCGCCAGTTGGTTTCAATCGAAAAATGGTATTAATTTCAACATATTTACAATTGTATTCATGATTTTAAATTAATAAACATGTTATACAAATCTTAATTTTGACCCCTATCAGCTCGGAAGTTTAGCTGCTATCAAAGAAAGATCTCCAATTGTGGCTGGAAACTTTGCAGTATGGGGTGGGATGTTCTCCACGATAGATTGTTCTCTAGTATACTTACGACAGAAGGAGGACCCTTGGAATTCAATAATGAGTGGAGCACTAACAGGAGGCATACTTGCTGCTAGAAATGGTAAGCCAAATTACTCTATTTAAACTATGTTAAATATTTAATTAAACTGCCTTTTTAATAAAATTATAATGTTTACCTGTATATTTGGCAAGACTTAAGACTATATTTTCTTTCTAATAGGTAATAGCATCTTTGGTCTTATAAATTTTAAAGTTTTCATTTCATTTAGTTCAACCGGTTCAGTGTGGATGGCACGCCAGACGTGCCATCGCTTATTTTTGTGTGACTTATGACACGTGAGTTTGTCGTTTTAAAAATCGTTATAACTCGCTCATATTACGTTTTTGGAAGATATATCCAGAACAAAATATTCATTATTTTGCAAGTAGTTCATGCCTACAGCTTCGTTTCTGGATATTTTGAAAATTTGAAATTTTTCTGGATTGTCAACCTTTTTTTACTTGTACATGGTACTCCTTTTACTTTGTGGATCATGTTGTGGAAAAATAGTCTAATAAGTAACAAATAATAGCACTCATTGTGATCGCTCTCAAACTCAAGTTGTAAATAAATTTTTGAAAAACAAGTCTCCTGTTAAAAAAAACAATGTGTTTGTCTTATTGTTTCATTTTGCTTAAAATGGTTGAATTGCCGTCTTATTACTATCATATGGCCGAATAGACCTATGAAGTACCATGTGCTCTTGTGATATGGTATTAGGTTTATTTTTGCTTGAAACAGTTCAAAACCGTTCATGCATAAAACAGTTTGCTAATAATCCTCCGCCGTATAGCGCCGGCGTTTTTTTCCTTTTGAAAACACTTGGTATTCTTAGACGTTTAACACAATGTATAATTAGACGTTTTCAGATCGACTTTACTTTTACATTTGTATAACATTAAATAATATTTAACATTTGCAATTATCAACGAATCATAAACCTCATTATTTTCCAAATTAAGGTTCTTGATTGTTTGATATTTACAAATGTTATTATTAGGTGAAAATTTAATTTAATAATAACCAAGGTTTTCCAGGGTGATTTAGCTGTACCTACTTATATAAATTATTTTTTATAACACAAAAAATAGTACAAAAGGTTTGTAATCACTGCATAAAAAAGTCACTTACTCTCAATTTCAAAGAAAACACAGAAAAACACGTAGTTACCCACTAAAAACAAGTATCCTTCCATTTGTAACTGATGTTCGATGTCAACTAAACTTAATTAGGTCTAAACAAGTGAAAAAAGCATTAAAAATAAAATTATTTTTACACATGGCTGATGGCACAATAGGCGTATCATCAACTTCTGTGGTGCCTGATACGCCAGGCATGTCATGAAATATTTGTTTGCCGCCACAGCTAAAAGTTATCGAAAATTGCTGCCACAACGAATCGGTTAAACTTCTTATGTATAAACTCTATTTGATTTCTTAACCGTTTATAACATTAAACTAGTATTTTAGTTGTTAACCTACACAATTTTTAATACCTTGCTTTAGTAATTTTATAAAACTGTAAATTCTTCTGAAAGTAATTTCATAATATAGACATAGAGTAAACTTATATACGAAAACTTTTTATAAAAAGTTTAATTGGTCTCTCCAGTTCAATGAGACATAGACTTGTAGTTGTCACTTCATCTAGTGGGTGACCCTACACTTTGCTTCCCAGTGCAAGGTTGCCATTTGAGTACTTCTCTTCCCCATCATTTGTGGCCGGCCCATTGCTGGTTCAGCTTACTGATTTTTTGTACTGTGTTGGTTACTCTGGTTCTACTGTGGATATCCTCAGCACAAAGTTAATCATGCTTAGAAATTCATAGCTCATTGCACAATTTTGAGCAGCAGTGGAGAACCTTATCTCAGATCTGTATGTCATGGGTAACACTGATTGATTGTACAGTATTTTTTTTTTATAGGAGATAAGGGTGACAAACGAGCACACAGTCCACCTGATGGTAAGTGGTTGCTGCGGCCCATAGACACCTACATCTATCCTCGACTACGAATCAAAATGCAGATGTGTTGTCACCCGTGAGGACTAAGATGGAATGCCTCATTTCCAGTAAAAAGGGTCTCCGGTTCTCTACACTCACCATACGAAACACAGCAGCGTTAAGCTGCTATTTTACGCTGGTATTCTGTGAGAGCGTGGTCCTTCCCCGGTCAAGCCGACCCATTCGTGCTACAATCATAATATAGCTGCAGCATGGCTCTACCACGTATAATCGTATCATCTTGTTTTGATGTTTTAAGGTATAGATGATGCTTCTCATCATCTTTACCTTAAAACATTTGTTGTCATTTCCCATATGGTGCCCAGCCGAGTTCGATCAGTTCTTTTCAGATAATTTAGGTAAACATATTCTTCAACAACTTTAAACGTAGTGCTCCCAACAACTACTGGCTGACCATTGTTTTGTCCATATTGAGTGTTATATCCTATCTCTTGTGAGACACTATTGATATTTTTTGAGAGTCATTGAGCATAGTGCTGAGGTCCATCAGCGATTCTGTCATAATGACAAAGTTCATTAGCTTGAAAATGTCTTCCAATACAGTGGTGTAGTGTTTCGGGGATATAACCTGACCCTGTCTTACATCTCTCTGCAATATGTTTTGTACTCTGGTTCCATACTCAGATAGCCATTGCAACTCGCTGTACAAGCACTTCAGCATTTTGATATTCACAGTTGACTTAGCACGGCCCAAATTAAGAAAAAATAATATTGTTTTTACAAAAACTGGGGTTCTGCATCCTCTTCACAGCAGAGGGGTTCAAATTAGAGTACCCTTTCTGCAGGGGGTGAGTGGAGAGGCTATATCACCTCTCCCCTCTCTCAGCCATTCATTACCTCGTACCACAGAATATTAATGCAACAACCAATTTTTAATTATCATTACTTTTTCAGGTGTTCCAGCAATGGCTGGCAGTGCTTTAGTGGGAGGTATCCTCCTTGCACTAATTGAAGGAATTGGTATAATGTTCACTCGACTTTCAGCGGAGCAGTTCAAACCACAGCAACCTATTTTCGAAGATCCTTCCATATTAGGGCAAAGTCAAGGGCAGAGCCAATCTTACCAGTAGGATACTACATAGGAATAAATCTCATTTGTGCAGTATGAAAATTTATGTGATGTAGAAATTGTTTAACTTTATTTTTGCCTAATTGAAAGAAAGTGTACTTGTTTTGTGTTATTAGGGAAATACGTTATTTTATGGCCAGGATACAAAATAATATGGTTAAACTAAAAACATATCTCTTATCCTTTACAGTGAAATATGGCCATGATTTGCTATTCGGAGATAAAAAATGTTTTATATAATATTTACCTTAAATTATCACAATTTGTTGCTAGCTATATAATACATACAACAACATGACAAGATTTTTTTTAAAATCAATAGAAGTATAATCATAGATTCAAGTACACTAACAATTTATATTTTAATGCATAATTTTTCAAACTGTACATAAAGTAATACTAGAAGAGAATGTTTTGTGAAAAGAATAAGATTAATTGGCCTTCATCCTTGACATATTTAAGTGGATTATTTGCTTCTGTGATATTTTCAGTTCCATACTGATTGCTTATAATTCCACTTAACATTACTTTTGTTCAGTATGGCAGACATTAGAATTGTTATTACTTATTATTATTTTTGAAATCAATCACTTATTACCTGCAATTATCAAATTCAACTTATTTATTTGTTTCCCATATAGTTGAATGATTTGTATGTGTTGTAAAGGACAAAAACTTTAGAAGGGTGAGAGCAGATCATTGTGAAGATTTATTTATATCCCATTTTCAAATTTGTGTCTCGTTGTTAACATCTATTGATTTTGTTTTGTACAAACATACAAGTTGCAAGTAATATGTTATGATTATAATGGTTTGAAACAGAAAATAAACGAGGGTTTATATATTTGTGTATTTATTTATTTCCTTAATAATAACATTAATGATAATATTATAATTTGTTCAAAATTATGGCAGTTATTATTCTACTCTTTCACTTAATAGCTTTATAATTAGTAAAATTTAATTTTTGAATTAAAGGTAACCAAAGCATTGCTGTAGTGCTTTTATTTTAAATATGCTTTGTAATATTGTCTTCTATTATGTTTGTGTGCTGAGTGGCTTGTTCTGAGTGGCGTTCTCTCCCATTTTTCTAATTTCCTTGATAACATGAGCTAAGACTTCTGGGTCAACACCAAGCTCGCATAACCTGATACATATGGTTAGAGTTTCTTGGTCGAGTCCTGTGCAAAGAAGCTGTGATATTTGATACAACATTTGGAATGCTTCCCGGGCTTGTCCAATTTGAGCATTTTTCTCTGAAGTCATAGCTGTGACTGAAATAAGAACATAGAAACGTTATCTGACGCATAAAATTATGCAACTGTGCATTGTTAATTAATGTACAACTTACAATGCACTATTATAAATTAGCTTAAATTCTGTTTACAAGAATGCACCAACAATTTGTTTTTAAAATAATACGTCAAACGTCAATTCAAATGTTTGTTGTTGTTTTTATTATTCGCTCGAGAGAGCAGGCAAAAGAACTAAGCCATACAGCCTAAACTTTGACACAGTATACAATTTACGTCTTTAAGATTTTTGGCTTGGATGCTTGTTCTTTAAGCCATGCCTTCATCATAGACTTAGGACAGTGTATTCGTGTGTTTTAAGCAAGAAGGGTTCTAAGTCAATGATCTTCATTTATTTTAGTATCAAGTGATAATAAGCCTATAGTACACTGCTTCAGGTACCTGAACTGATTATTAATTTTTGAGTATTTTAATTTTCTGCCGACTTCAAAAAGTAATTCAACTGTATGTTTTTTATGTGTGTTATAACTTCATAACTTTTTACTGGGTGAACAGATTTCAATTATTCTTTTTTTATTTGAAAGCTGGTACTTCACATGTGGTGGCATATAAATTTGATCAAGGTCAGATCAATAGTTTCTGAGTTATTCTTAATAATTTATGTTGAAGTCGGCTGTACAGAACTTTTAATTTTAAATTATTAATTAATTGTTCATTATTGTTCGAAAATAAAAATGGTTTGCTAGTCTTTTAATGATTTATTTTTTTATTTATATTTTAATGATTTATAGAATTAATTAAACAAACTTCATCCTTAAGTACTCCCCGCTTATGGTTATAATTGGTTTATAATTGACCATCAAAGCGAGCTCGAGACTTGGGGCACCTCGACTTGGACAGATTAGGTTAGAAGGGAATGGCGGGTCGAATGAGAGAGCGAAGCGTGCGAACATACCCTTCTATCCCCTTTGTGGTTATTTTTTTTTATAAACCATCTAGTAATAAGGAGGGCAACCTAAGGATGAAATTTGTTTAATTAATTATAAATAATTAAAAGATGAACAAACAATTTTTATGTTCGAACAATAACGAGCAATTAATTAAAAATAAAAATGTACTCAACAATAAAAAATTCAAGTGGGGAAGCGTCACATTGCGTAGTTTTTGGGATATTTTGAAGGCAACTTGCCAGTGTCAAGTAATATGAAATTATCCTTTTGAATAATTTGTTTAGAAACTACAATATGTCAGCAGGCAGTCGATGAAGATAATATCTCAAGGTGCCTTAGCGAGCAAAATAACTTGAGGTTTAAATCACCATCGGAGCACTTGTTAGATCGTATCCACCAATAATTCACTTCAAATCATTATTTAAAAAATACTAAAGGAGCAGCGATCCGAGGGCAACCAAGTTTCCGCCAAAACTCCAATCTGTTGTTTCTACTCACACAGTAGATATGTCGCAGTAAGATAGATAAAACCGTGATATAGTTATATCCCTAGGGATATAGCTATATACCAGAAGGATATAGAATATTCTGATGCGTCACATTGCGAAGTTTTTGGGGGTTTTGACGACAGCTTGACCTATAGGACAGTTGAAAACGATAGTTTCTTAAAACCCCTAAGTGGATAAAAAAACCTTGCAATCCCTATCACCATCAGAGTAGTTGTTTCATCGCTTATTGTATACTGCATTAATAGTTCATATTTAATGTTGAGGCTTACCTACATAATATCATTAAAACAGTTTTGAGGTTTACCTATATTACCTTCGGAGCATAGGTACTATCGTTAAAATAGTTTTGAGGTTCACCAATATTACCATCGGAGCAGAGCACTCGTTTCATCATTTCTTCCAATAGTTTTTACAGCAAGCATTATACAAAATCGTACCACTTAAGCATAACAAAATCTACTTCAAGCCCTTATTGAAGAAGTAGTTTCCACGACATTTCTAGGAATAATATTTGATGAATTTTGTAGTTGGAAGCCGCATATAGAAGCCTATGTACTAAAATAGATCGTTTCGTTTTTGCATTGCATAGACTAAGAAATATTGTATCAGAAAGAGCTGCACTGATGGCATATCATGGATATATCTCATCCATACTACGATATGGTGTTCTACTCTGGGGGTATTCGGTGGATTCGGATAAAGCATTTAAAGCACAAAAACGCTGCATATGAGCTCTTTGTGGTGTTGGTCCTTTAGTGAGTTGCAAACCTTTGTTCAAAACTAAAAAGATCCTGCCTTTGCCTTCATTATACATATTTGAAATGCGCATGTTTGTTCATAAGCATCCACATTTATTTAAACGTAAGTGTGAAGTGAGTGAAAGTAAGGGTAGATACAAGAATAGGTTATATGCACCAGCAAATCGTCTAAAAGTTACAAAAAGAAATGCTTCTGCAATGTCGATAAGAATTTATCAGAATTTATAATAAATTAGGTACCTGATTATTTAAAGCGTAAAAGTTTATTATGAAGCATAATTAATATGCATATATTATAATATGCTTCATATTATTGTATGCTTCATATTATAATATGCAAGCATATTATAATATGAAGCATGGGAAATCACCAGGTCACGATGGCCTCAGCGTCGAACACCTCAGATATGCGGGTGTGCACCTTCACAGAGTCCTCAAGTTGCTCTACAACCTATGTGTTGGTCATGGTTACTTACCTGATACAATGATGATGACAGTGGTCGTGCCTATACTTAAGAATAGGACGGGCGATGCAGCGGATGAAACCAACTACAGGCCGATATCCTTGGCGACCATCTCGGCTAAGGTTCTGGACAGTCTGCTTGATACACAGTTAAGTAAGGCAGTTAAGTTACATGATGCTCAGTTCGGGTTTAGGCCTGAACTATCAACGGAGAGCGCAATACTGTGTTTCAAGCAGACTGTGCGGTACTATACGGACAGGAAGACTCAGGTTTATGCGTGTTTCCTGGATTTGTCTAAAGCCTTCGACCGAGTGTCTTATAAAATTTTATGGCAAAAATTAAAACGGGAAAGTAGCTTGAGACCAGAGTTGGTTTCACTGTTGGAATATTGGTACGGTAACCAGACTAACACAGTTAGATGGGGTAACACCTTTAGTGATCCCTACAAACTAGGGTGCGGAGTGAGGCAGGGAGGGCTGACATCACCCAGGCTGTTTAATCTTTATGTTAACAGACTGATTGAGAGGCTCAGCAGAGCAGGTGTCGGTTGCTCAATAGACGGTGTACCCATGAATAATTTTAGTTACGCAGACGACATGGTTCTGTTGAGCCCCTCAGTCAGCGGGCTTCGAAAGCTGTTGAAAATTTGTGAAGCATATGCCGAGGAGACTGGACTCAGTTACAACTCAAAAAAGAGTGAATTTATTGTCTTCAGAGGTAAGAATAAACCACTTGACTTCACGCCACGTATCCAGCTATGTGGGATTCCTCTGAGACAAGTGGCTGAGTTTAGGTACCTCGGACATATTGTAACTGAACGCCTGGATGATGACAGTGACATTGAACGAGAGCGCCGAGCGCTGTCGGTCCGGGGCAATATGTTGGCTCGCAGATTTGCACGTAGTACGACTCAAGTCAAGCTAAATTTGTTCAAGGCGTATTGTCAATCCTTTTACACGTGCAGTCTGTGGACTGACTATACGCGGCGGGCCTACAGTGCTCTGCGTGTTCAGTACAACAATGTGCTGAGGGTGATGTTGAGGAAGCCTCCACACTGCAGTGCGTCGGCCATGTTTGCGGATGCTCGTGTGGACGACTTCTACGCGATCATGCGCAAGCGTGCCACGTCCATGATGAGCAGGCTATTGAGGAGCTCCAACACCCTTCTCAGCGCATTGGCTGTGAAGCTGGATTGCCCGCTCTGGAGGGCTTGGAATGTTGCACACACCAGCACGAGGAGAATTCCACCTGGAGTTCGCTATGTGAGGCTGGGGGTAGGTTAAGCTACTAATATAGGATAAGTAATTTTTTGACTAACATTTTAATATTAACTTCTATTTTATTTTATACTAACATTAGGCTAAGTAAGTTTTACTAACAATCTATGACTATTGTTGGTCGAAATAAAGGATTTATTTTCGGAAAGTGTTTTTCACTTCTCAGTCCTTGGACTGGAATTGAACTACATTTACGGGCCGAAACCAAAGCAAATGCAGCGTGAGGTGTGTATACTCGTATTTATGTATTTTCATGAGGTCCTATTTCGTTTACTTCTATTTGCATGAATTTCCTGACAATTCTGCATGTATTTAATATAGCGGCTTTTTGCAGTGTTATGTAGAGGGTTTCCTTTAGGTCTAATAGTGTCAAGCTATGGAGGAGATGATTTGGTATTACGCCTGTTGTGGAGAGGACTATAGGAACCACATATACTTTTTCTTGTCGCCAGATTCTAGTCACTTCATCTTTGAGCTCCGCGTACTTACAAATTTTTTCTGTGATTGTCTTCTGTATGTTGTGTGTGTTGGGAACTGCAATGTCTATCAGGTACGTAATTTTATTTATTTTGTCTTGTAGGATTATATCTGGTCTGTTATAATGGATTGTCTTGTCAGTAAGAATGGCGCGGTCGTACAAGAGTTTATGTGTAGTATTTTCTAGGGTAATTTTTGGTGTATAATTGTAGTAAGGAGTGTTCGTATTTTTAATGAGTGCGTGTTTGAGTGCTAGTTTTTGGTGAATGACATTGGCCACCTGGTTGTGCCTGTGGGTGTAGTCAGTCTGCGTCAGAGTTGTGCATGCGCCTGTTATGTGTTGGATGGTTTCTGGGTGGATGTGGCATTTGCGACATTTGTCATTAATTACTGTAGGATCTTTTATTATGTATTTCCTGTAGTTTTTTGTGTTTATGATTTGGTCTTGAATAGCTATTATAAATCCTTCGGTTTCTGGAAATAAGTTGCCTATTTTCAGCCATTTATTTGAAGCTAACTTATTTATGTGTGGTTGCTCCAAGTCATGAGGGTGCCGACCGTGGAGTACTTTCCTCTTCCAATCCTCAATTTTTTGTGTCTGCTGGTTATCAATGGTAGTGTTTTGGGTTTCTATTTGATTGCTAAGGTTAAGTGGAGTGTAGTTAATATCATTTGTTACTATGGCTTTATGTATATTACTAGTGTGAGACTTTGTGTAGAAGAACGATTTTAGTCGTTCAACTTGTTTCTGCCTTAGGTGCTGAATATCTATTAGACCTCTCCCTCCAAGTTCCCGTTTTATGGTTAATCTTTCTATGGCGGACTTAGGGTGCAGATTGTTATGTTTCGTAAGTGTTGTTCGTGTAGTACGTTCTAATTGTTCTGTGTCAGTTTTGGACCATTTTATAACCCCGAATGAGTACGTTAATACGGGAATGGCGAAGGTGTTTATGGCTTTGATGAGATGTTTACCTGAAAGCTGCTTTTTACAAACGGCGTTAAGTCTTCTCTTGTATTCCGTAGTTAGTGTACTTTTTATTCGTACGTGGTCAAGACCTTTAAGTTGCACATACCCTAAATATTTATACAAGTCAGTCGGTTCCATTGCTGTAATAACATCTGTGTCATTCACTACATAGTCGCCGGGCCTTACTTTGCCTCTTACGGTGTGAAGTGTTTTACATTTATCCAAACCAAATTGCATATTAATATTGTTACTAAATTCTGCTGTAATATCTACTAATTTCTTCATATCTTTTTCTGTTTTCGCGTATAATTTGATGTCGTCCATGTATATAAGATGCGATATTGTTGTTTCGTCTGTATTATTTTTTAGACTATATCCTGCCTTACAGCTCTGCAGCAAATGAGACAGAGGATTTAGGGCGAGACAGAACCACAGTGGGCTTAGAGAGTCGCCTTGGTAGATGCCTTTTTTGATGGAAATATATCGTGTTGTGATAGTATTTTTGTCACAATTTATTTGTAGTTTTGTTTTCCATTGTAACATTATACGGCGTAAGAAATCTATTATTTTCGGGTTTATTCTATAAATCTCTAATATTTGTAACAACCAAGAATGAGGAACACTGTCAAAAGCTTTTTTATAATCAATATAGGTGCAATGCAAATTTCTGTTTTTGGAGGTGGCATGTTTATGAACAGTGGAATCAATAATCAGCTGTTCTTTGCACCCCATGTGGCCCTGTCTACATCCTTTCTGTTCTTCCGCTATTATATTGTGATGTTCGATGTGTGAGTGAATTTTCTTTGTAATTGCAGATGTCAATATTTTGTAAATTGTGGGTAGACATGTAATTGGTCGGTATTGGGAAGGCTGAGGTGAATTTTTGGTTTTAGGTAGCATGTAAGTAATTCCTGTTGCAATAAATTCGGGCACATTCTGTTGTCCTACTATAATATCTGTTAAATTTTTAGCTATAGATTTGTGTAATGAGGTTAACTTTTTGTACCAGAAATTATGTATATTGTCTATACCAGGCGATTTCCAATTATGTAATCTAGCTGTAATATGTGTAATGTCTGTCTCTGTTACCTCTGCGAATTCCATCTCGTCAATATCTCTCCATTTTGCTTCTTCTTCCACTATCCAAGATGCTTTGTCGTTGTGTTGTTTTTGCTCTTCCCAAATACTAGCCCAATATGCTTCTAGTTCTTCTTTTGTAGGTAGGTTGGATGTGTTTCTGGTATTTTCATCAATTGTGTCTGTTTGTGGTTTTTGTAGGTTCCTATAAAACATCTTTTCGTTTGTTGCAAATGTGGTGTTATCTCTTTTGCGTTGTAATGCCTTTTTGTACCTTTTGAGCCTGTGAACTTTGAGTGCTAGTTTTTGTTTTAAGGTGTCTAAAAATTCTTCGGGTCTTGTGTTACTTTTTTCGTGTCTGGTGTGCGTGGAATTGTTCCTAAATATGACCTCAACTTTTTTTACTAGTTTATTAGATCTACAACCGTTAATATATTGAGTGAGTCTGCCTATGTTTGCCCGTATTTTTTCAATGTCTTTTTCTAGTCTCTGTTGCCACGCTGGTTCTATATTTTGTCTTGTTCTTGGCGTTCTTATGTGGTCTGTGATTTGAAAGTTCATTTCTTCAGATATTACTACCGCTGTGCAATATATAAGTAAATGTATGTCTATGAGTTGTGTGTCATCAGATATATATCGTGTGAGTATAGTTTCATTAAATAAATTTATTAGACGAAATAGTTTAGGCGTGTATTTAAGTTTGGGTAATCTTGGTCGCACTCCTGGGTCCATCCCAGAGTATTGTGTTATTGTTGTTCTAAATTTCTCATTAATTTCTTGAATATATGTATCTGTTGTTAAGTGTTGATCTGGAACAACTATGGTCTCAATGTCATTTTCTAGTGTTAGTATTATCGATTCGGTTTGTGTGGATGAGTGTGATCTTTGTATATAGGCTTGTGAATGGTTGTATGGCTGAGGTTGTGCATAAATGAGTTGTGATTGATTAAGCGATTGTGGTTGTACATGATGACTATTTTCATTTGTGCTTTGTTTGGTATTATTAGTATCTCCATAATTATTAACCACTTCTTCTTCCAGTAATTGTATTCGTACTTCTTCTTTTAATTGATGTATTTCTTCTTGAGATAGAAGTTTATTCCTAACTATGGTTCTTCTTTGGTCTGAGATTCTTTGTTCTGAAACGGTAATTTCTGGATATTGTCGAGTGAAAAGTGCATGTAATTGTTGTCTATAGGCGGTCATATCGGTCTCTAATTTAGTAATATATAGATAAGTTCGCATGATAAATAGATTTACTTCTTTACTCCATTTCATGCGAACTCTTGCTTTTCCAGCCTTGGTGGACGCAGGTAAGAAGGTAGATACCCCCCGCGCAGCATTCAAAGTGGAAGTGGGTGGAACTGTATTTAAACTAATGATGGGGGGTGATGAAAGTATTGGTGACGATGGTATGGATGGTCTTGAGGGTGTGTATGATACTGTGCTAGGTCTATACTGTTCTACAGGGGTGTCCGTCCTGTCCGTCAGTCGATCACCATCGTCAATGATTTCGGCTGTAGCATCTTTGTCGGTGGGAGCCCGCCTGTTCAACTCCTCACCGCTGACGGTTCGCATGCTGAGACACCCAGCGTCAGCTCCAGGTGCGCCCCGGCGATCGCCCCCGGGCAGCGGCCCTATACGTTTACTTTTAGAACGAGTCTCCATTTTTTATGGGTTTCCAGAGCCACGTTAGCCACGCCAGTAATTTCTCATTCGTGTGTCCGCCCCCCACGTGATTAGATGGTCAATCAGGACGTGTGGTTGTTTAGGGGGCAAATAAAGGATTTATTATTATTATTATTATTATTGTCATTTAAGAAATCTGTTTTGGCATTGTTGCTCACTAAATGTTATTATTCTGTAGATGAGTTCTTAAACGACAACGACCTACACACGAGTAATACGAGTAATGAATGATAATTTTAGAATATGATTAATTACGTAATTACAAGATTCCAATGTTTAAAGAAAATATGTTTTTGATATTATTTTATATAAAATTTGACTTATGTTTTTAATTTATTAATAAATTTGATGTAAAAATAGAAAGAAATTAATGACAATTGGATATGTAACATTAGATAATTATTGACATAAGAATAATAATTAATATATGACATTGACCTATAATAATAATCTTACTTGATATAATAATACTTACTTATATATTTTGATGGCATTTTATGACACTGTGGCATAATAAATTAATTATCAAATCAACTAAATAATATTAAATAATTTTATATTTTGTTAAATTAATATTTGTTGTTAAATTCGATAAGTGTTGTTGTTTAGGTTACTTGACCATTAACATTTGCACACCACTAAGGTAGAATATGTAGAATGAATTATACTCAAACACCAATGTACAACCATATTCTTGCAAATAAATATTATTATTATTATTATTAATAATGGAGCAGTAATTCGCCGTCGACAACATACCCGCCAAAACTCGTTCCAATGTGTAATAACAAAATTTGATATTGTGTAGTAATTAAATTTGAATTTGGAAGTCGAAAGTGGATGGAATAATTTAAAATTAAAAATTTTGTACAGCCGACTTCAATATAAGTTATTTAAGAATAACTTAAAAACTATTGGTCTGACCTTGATCAAATTCATATGGGACCACACGAGAAGTACCAGCTTTCAAATAAAAAAAGAATCATCGAAATCGGTTCACCCAGAAAAAAGTTCTGAGGTAACACACATAAAAAAAAAACGAAAAAAAAAACATACAGTCGAATTGAGTACCGGCTCCTTTTTGGAAGTCGGCAGAAAAATGCTATCATGCTGTGGAACTCAAATCTAAACGTAGTGGTTATATTCTCTTTGCTCAAAACTAGCGTATTAAACGAACAGTATTTAAATCACTAGTATGTATTAAAAAAAAAACAAATGCAATTTCATAAATAAGTAATCATTTAATTCGACAAGGTTTTAATTACAAAAACCTATTGCTGGCAAGCGTGTTGCAAAAAGTAGTTTTTTTATTTTAGGACCAACTAGGGGCGCCATTCTTACTACAGTAAATAAGTCAATGTATTCCATGTTTTCAGTAAAAACTTTCTAGTGCCTATCTCTGACGTGGTCCTCTCCATTTCTAATAGAAACGAATCAGAACGGTAACATGGAGAAGGATTTTTTCTAATGCATGACTATTTTTTAATAATTAGACGCAGGGCCGGATTAATCATTAGACAGAATAGGCAACTGCCTGGGAGCCCCGCATCGGCTAGAAGCCTTGATCGCGCACAAAAGAAATTGAAAATTTTCCATAGAGTAGAAATTTTATTAGAAAATTTGTATCCTCAATGACAATAGGTATTATTGGTTATTGCGTTCTGTCAGTTGATGAAATACTGGCCTACCTACTGGGAAGCAGGGATTGAATACCGGTACCAATTTCGGTTCTGGTTCTTCATTTAAGTTCTTATAAAGGTTCTTCTTTACGGTACGGTTCCAGTTCCGGTATCGGTTCCGGTTTGGGTTTCGATGTACCGGTTCTAAATACCGGTTACGAGAACCTTTAATCAAATTTTTCTAAATCCGTAGATTGGTATAAAAAATTCCGTAGAATTCCGTAGATGCCTTTTCAAAATATCCGTTGGCTGCAGACTTCTAAAGATGATTGACAATTTTTGTTTTTGTCAAATTTTTTGGGAAAATTCTTTCTGCCTTGGATAATTCTTGTTGTAAGTTTAATTGTAGTATATCATCGAATCAAGCTGCACATGTAAGAAAAAATTACCATAAAATTGATTAATAATTGTTTTCTTTTAAATAAACAATTTTTAGTACAAAACAAATAAAATAACTATATACACTTTGATATTTGTAGTTAATTATACTAAAAAAAAAATACGTTACAAACTTGATGCTGGAAATTTTTCAAGCAATAATTAGACGAATAAAAAACAACTGACCATCTTCACTAAAATTATCATAGATATATTTTTTTTCTGGTTTTTGTTAGTTTATTTGATATATTTAGGTGTTTCAGCCTCAGGTAATTTATGTAACAACTAAAAACTATACAACTAACAACTTTGAGAAATTCAAAAAAAAAAAAGACCGAGGAAACGCGAAGACTTATTCGGCAGAATTTTTTCTTTCTAATTGTAAAAACTATTGGGACATCATGGATTACAAAAATTTGAGACATAAGTGACAATTCAATCATCTATAAAAATTATAAGCGCTTATATTAACTGCCTATTTTCCAAAGTGTTCTAAATACGAAATAAACGTAATTTAATACAAAATATCTAAGCTATTAAAATTTTAAATCGATCAACCTCACAAAAATTTGATATTCATAAGCAAAAATGGTTTTATTTTAATACAGATAGCATAGAATTAATTATTGAATATAATTTAATACAGACAGTATAGAAGAAGAGAAGAGAATGACATTGTCGGCAAGTTCACACTCATGATAAAAAAAATCTTGTAAAATTTTTAAAAATTCCGCACATTGCAACCTCAAATTCCGTAGCTCCGTAGATGATTACAAAACTCCGTAGATCTACGGAAAAATCCGTAGAGTTGGCAACGCTGCGTTGATATGCAACAGAAGATCCACCAATACAAATGTGATGTTTTACAAATCGCCTCTCCTCACATTCCGCCGCGCGCCGTATCGCACCGTCCACCTGACCGCACCTTAAACAAGTTTGGACTCGCTTTCGGTTTGCTTAGGAACCGGTAAAATAAAGGTTCTTAAAGGTTCCAATTTCCAACAAACCCCTAAATACCTGTTCTATACCGGTATTTTGGAACCGTTTTCAATCACTGCTGGGAAGAACCGGTCGCTACAATTTTACATTTAAAAAAAATGCGAGAGGCCAGACTTACGATAATGCGTCAAATATGGCTGGTGGTCAAGTATTTATACAGAATGGTTTCCAGGCCCATATTAAGAAAATAACTAATCTCGCAAACTACGTTCCATGTGCAGCGCACTCATTGAATTTTTTGGACTGGTTGGAATACGTGCTGCGGAGTGCAGCGTTGGCGCAATTTTATTCTTCAGATTTGTACAGAAACTATACAACGTTTTTCGGCGTCAACTCATCGCTGGGAAATTATGCAAAAACTTCTCGAAAAAGGCTAAGTGCTGAAAAAAGTGTTCGAGACAAGGTGGAGAGCAAACGTCGATGCGACTAAGGCTTTGTCAAAAGATTCCGCTGGCTGAGGCAACAAGGGGAGTGCCCTAAAACTGAGGAGATACAACAAAGAGGTTCTTTTTAGCGGTAAACGCGGAAACTTGTGTCTTCTGGGGATTGAACTGACCTAGATTTAGTCTCCCCAATCCGAGATTTCGTTTAACAAAGTTTTCCCGAGAAATATTGACACGGCCGGTGCATAAAGAATCATCTTTTCTTTCGTTTATAATTTTTTATTGCACTTAAAAACAATAAAGCTTAAATAAAAACACCCGCGTCAAAACTTTTTTCTTTCGTTTATTATATTTTATTGCATTTAATAAGAATAAAATTAAAGCACCCGCATCGTATTTTTCTTTCCTGCTTCATCATGTGACCTTGAGACGGTGTTATCTCATACACTATACCTAACAAGACCTGGATTATCACTTATCAATAACCTGTTCATTAAGAGCATTTCAATGAGTCTAAATAGAAATCTGTAACTGTAAGTTCCTGAGGAGCAAAGCATAAGTTCGGAGATGCTTCTGATGCTATTACATTCCTTCATCAACTTGAAAAGAGCTCATGAACTTCAAACGGCTGAAAAGGGAGCCCGAGAATTGCACTGCCTAAGGGCCCCGACATGGTTATTCCGGCCCTGATTAGACATTAAACAAACATGATACCTAAAATGAGGGACCTACCACAGTTATTCAAAAAGTATATCTTGTATCACGGATATATTACGTTTACTGCTACTGCAGGTATATTCCACAGAATTTCAAGGATTTTTTTTGGGTTTAGCCTTTTTTTTAATTCAAAATATCTTTTAAAAATAACTCCGTTAAACTTTATTATACAGGGTTATTTTTCAAAAATTAAGATACCAGGTGGCCCATAAGTCGTTAGAAATGTAAATTTCGAATAAAATACAAAAGGCGCGCATGAGTGGCGCGCGCGGTGCGGGGGGAGTACCGACGGTTTCTAGGAATTCAGTCGCCATGGAGCGTTTCACCGGTGCGGACCGTGCATTTTGTGTGCGCGAGTTTTATCGAAACAGTGATTCGGCTACCATTGCGCGGCGTAAATTTCGAGAATATCAGAATTTACGCAACTTTAAAGACATTCCAAGTGTTCAAACGATTAAGAACTGGGTTATTAAGTTCCAAGAGAGTGGTTCGACGTTGGATAAACAACGGTCAGGTCGACCAAGGACATCACGGACGGAAGAAAACATCGATGTAGTGAAACACTCAATTCGTGAAAATCCTACCCAGTCTACTCGTAAGCGTTCCAGTGCATTAAACTTACCCAGAACATCGTTACAGCGAATTTTAAAGAAAGATTTACATCTTCACCCGTACAAGATTCAGTTAGTACAGGAATTAAAAGATACTGACACTATCCACAGACTAAATTTCGCAAATGAAATGTTGAACCGCTTTACTTCGTTTAATAACGTGTTATTCTCTGATGAGGCTCACTTTCACATCAACGGCCATATCAATAAGCAAAATTGTCGCTACTGGAGTTGCGAAAATCCAAATCGCAAACATCAAAAGCCCTTACATAGCCCTAAAGTGACAGTTTGGGCGGCTATGTCAGCGCATGGCATTATAGGCCCTTACTTTTTTGAGGACGGCAGAGGCCGCGCGCTTACTGTTACTTCACAACGGTATGTAGCTATGATCCAGGACTTTTTTACACCAGAGTTGCAGAATTTTCCAGGCTTCAATACGCGGACCTGGTTTCAACAAGATGGAGCAACTGCCCATGCCTCTAACGTCGCTATGCCGGTCGTCCGTCAACTTTTCCCTAATAAAGTGATCTCTCGAAGAGGAGATATTCCTTGGCCACCACGTAGTCCAGATCTGACCCCAATGGACTTTTTCTTATGGGGTTATCTTAAGACTAAAGTGTACGAAACCAACCCGCGGACAATTGACGTCCTGAAAGAAAATATCCAAAGAGAAATGGCAAACATTACAGAGCTTACTTGCCACGCAGTGATGGATAATTTTAAACGTCGCTTACAGGAGTGCCGCGATCGTAACGGATTACATTTAGATGATGTAATTTTCAAAAAATAATTCCCATTTTATAAGGATTATGACAAAATAAAAACCTTTTTCATAATGTCATTAGTTTTTTTTTAATTATTTTTTTACATTTCAAGGGACTTATTGGCCAACCTGTATAAATAATGATATATAGTTATTGCAGTTTTTGATAATATGAGTAAATAAGGCTCCTACTTTTATTTGAAATTATCTCAAATGATACGGGCATCCACGACTTTTTCTGCCACCAGGATGGCGCTACTTAAAAGTGATGTTTGACAGATTTCATAGCGGGCATTGAGTTATACGTACTACGTACTAGAGAAGCAATTCCAAACAAAAATTGTGTCCTACTCTATGTCTTCGCGCATGCGCGGGAGTAATAGTCGCGCATGCGCGAAGACTTTAATTTAATATAAAATAAGATATTAATTTAAAATAAATATAAGAATTTAATATAAAATATCTTAATTTAATCTAAACAAACATATTTCTAAATAAAATGTAATAATAATTATTTTATGGAATTCACAAATCTTTAATTTACGCAATATTTAATTTGTATGGATTGCACTACAGTTCAGTTGAACATAGTCAATGTTCGGAATGGCTTCTCTAGTTCATAGTACATATAACTCAATGATAGCGGGTAAATTAATTTGTTCGGAAAATGTAAAGGATAATGTTTCTTTCTGTAATAAGATTAAAAATAAATAAACCAAACCACAAATATTCATTTTAGTAGAAAATTTGGAAGAAAGTTTAAAATGTGCAATAATTTAAAGAACAAACGACAGAGGCATTGCTTTGTGTATTAATATAATACTCTAGAAATTTATAAACTTCTCAATTAAACGACAGAAAATTATTAGCCCTCATTGAATGTGATTTATGGGCAACAACGTTTTTGACTACCGATCGACCCTTACGAATGTGTGTACGTAAAGTCACTTAAAATAACGCATTACTATTCATTTTGAATTTAAAAGATTAATAAGACATAATGTTTGAGATTTTTTCAATTAATTTTTCTTCACCATTGGCTATATTACTTATACTGAACTTTCTCTGCAAATTTGACCGGTTATTGCAAAATAACCCTTAATATATAGTGTATAAATATTGTAGGATAACCAAAGTTATAAATATTTATACAATATCACAGAAAATTATTACTCCTAGTGGAGCTAAATCAGAAGTATTTTTTTTAATAAAGGCTGTTTAGTCCAACTCTGGATTTCTAACTTTTTAATATCTTACTGTAGGAAATTTAATAATAGAGCCACAACCGTATTTACGCGCCATTGAAAGTTGGGCGGGAACTTTAGAATTTTACATCTCTACAGCAGTTTTCTATTTTTACACCCTCGCGTCCACTCCAGAAATAGATATTGTTCAAGTTTTGAGAGTGATTTGTGCAGTGCTTTGAGCTCTGAAATAAATTGGTGAAACTTATTATTTTCGTATATTTAAGTGAGAACAGTGGTATTAGTATAATGGTTTGTAAAAAAGATTTTTTAATGTGTAAAACGCTAAAATTCCGCATACTTTTTTCATCTTATCATTTCGTCATGTCATCATTCACGTGTACACTTTTATTTACGAATTACGATCGGAAAAGAAATCTATGTAAAAAAAAAAAATTAAAGTAGGTAAGGAATTTAATTATTTATTAGCAATTTAGCAATTCAATTTTATATTATTTGTTATTATGAGAGAAAAAAATGTTTCTTTACCTATAAAATAATTAATGAACTACTTTAATTTCGGATTTTGATTCCAAGGAATATAACACATATTCCTTGGAATCAAAATGACACCAAGATTTCTTTTAAGCCAATCGTATTTAAAATTATCTAAGTTAAGTTTTAAGCCAGACACTGTGACTTGCGGCATTCGAGTATATATGCGAAAAGAGAACTAACGCAGTACGTATTCAGTACACCGGATTCCAAGGTATTTTAACAAAAAATTTACAGGCGCTGGACGACCATCTGCACACCCCGCACACTATCAGAAATATCATTTCAGCAAATCTTTTTATCGCCTATATTCCATAGGATGGTACCTATATTTTTCATCTCCGTAATAAAATTTTCTAAAAATAATTCAGTCATTATCGTTTTCCGCCAGTCATTCCTGGTCACCCCCAATATGTGCGCATTACACAGGCGTACGCTCTTTGAATTTTTCAGTGTGCGTCGCAGAAATTATAAAGTAAGTACGGCGTCATGTGTTTACCTACAAACCTGTATCTACAAAATATATGCGTAAAGTACCTTCCGGCGCGCGTTATAACATTTCTGTTAGAAAATTGGTTTTGTTTTATTTTTGTTTTGTTCAAGTTCGACGGGAAGATTTGGATAAAATAAAGAATAAAATATCATTATTTTACGTACCTTGAATTTAATGATTGTTAAAAATCTAATTATTAGTCTTTTCTCAACGATTCTCTTTCTATATAAACTGACAATATATATATATAAAATGAAATGTTTAAATTAAAAATTGAAAATCTGTTAATGTTACACAAAAAGGCTTTATCATGATTTTTTTATAGGATAAACAAACTATATAGGAGGGTGACAAACGAGCCCACAGTCCACCTGATGGTAAGTGGTTGCTGCGGCCCATCGACATCTATGTCTATCCTCGATTAAAAATCAAAATGCAGACGCGTTGTCACCCGTGAGGACTAAGATGAAATGCCTCATTTCGAGTGAATACGGTCTCCGGTCCTCCACACTCACCATATGAAAAACAGCAGCGATAAGCTGCTATTTTACGCTGGTATTCAGTGAGAGCGTGGTCGTTCCCCGGTCGAGCCGACCCATTCGTGCTACAACTATACTACTAATATAGCTGTAACATGGCTCTACCACGTAATATTTGCCCGGATAGACTGAAAATAATAATAAAAATAATTACTTATGTCATAATGGCATGCAAATAAGTAGGTAGTTATTTCGATATTACAGACAAAGGTAAAAAAATCTTCGTCTGCAAATTAAAATTCCTGAATATAATTGCGATATTGAAGTCCTCGTCATGTTAAAACCGTTGCGTTGACTAACAAGGTAACAAGCCATTTCCTTTTTTTTATACAAAATTGAAGTGGCAAACGAACTTACAGTCCAGCTGATGTTAAGTGACTTCTGAAGCATCAAACAAACTTTGGGAAAAATTCACAAGCACCTTTACTTAAGAACGAAAATTCAGGAACTATTGGTTATTTTTATTTTTTGGTAAAGAAAAGAAATTATTTTTGCCTCCTATAAAATTCTGGCACCATGGGCTATAGACACTGACCTCTATATATGGACTGGCTATAACAGTGACATAAGGAAGCGATTTGATTTTCGCCATTTTGGCGCTGACAGCATAAGTGAACTTCCACGGAACTAATAATAGAGATAAGACAGTGTGACAAAATATATCGATAAGAATTCTATACCCAAGCATACCCGTAACATCCATTCTATTTATGTATCATATTAATACAATGACATACAATAAATAAATGTATCAATTAATACCTAGGCCTTAGACGCAAGCTTTATACTTCATATAAAACAAGAATCGACGCTGCGTTGATCTATCAACGTTTTTATTTTTAACTACAGAATGGACTTTGTCCCAGGTTTCAAATGAGAAAATGCCTACTCATACCTGCATTGCGGGGGCAAGAACGGATTATGTCGGACTTGCACCTACTAAAACCCCATGACGTTCCATCTTCACCACACACGGAAAACGCTTTCAAGCACATCCGCGGCCCCACCAGCGAGGACCCCTCCTTAGTTGAGGACTTCCCTCCCCGACTTCCCGAGGAAGATTTGTGGAGGCCATGGAGCCAAGAAAAAATGAGCACTCGGAAGTAACAAGTGGTACAACCTCGCCAAAGTCGCGGAGGATAGTCGAGTGGCGCACTACCATATCAACAATCCTCTTCCCTTGCGACACTATCTCGGCTGCAGCGATATAGAGGGAGGACTCTCCTCTAGCCGCAGCTCACTAACACACATCCAAAGGCTCGATAAGCCCACTCAGAGTAGCCGCCTTGGGCAGCCATGTGAGCTGCCCAAACTTTACCATTGGTTACCAAGCCATGGCTACTAACCCCCCTCTCCCCACCACATCAAGGTGGGAATCCATTCAAGAGGAGTTATTTCTCACCTAAACTCACGCAAACTCACTATGGTCATTAATAATTTTGCAATTCCAATATAAATTTATTCTCTTGATACAATAAATTGGTCATAACAATTATACAGATTTAATAAACTTACGTCTTGTAAACACAAAGTCATCATCAGGCGACCTTTCTACACTTGGCTATGGCCCTTGAGTCTGGGGGAAAATAAGTAGAGAAGAAATAAAAAAAAACATTCAAAATAATAATCAAATACTTTTATACTTACTGGTACTGGTACTACCAGAAAATATTGTTTGTACACTGCACTTTTTCAAAGTGGTGCGTTTCTCATGTCTAATAAAAGAGTCGTCTGTGAAGTGTTTAGAACAAAGATAATCATTTTGTTTCGGACGCTAATTCACAATTTTTGTGCTTTTTAGCCATATTATAATCTAGGTTCTAGTTCTAGGTAGGTTGGTTGTGAACAGATATGGGTAGAAAAGAAGATCGATAAGTATTATAAACAAAGAACTCAATAACCCTATTGAATTTTATTGTTTATCAAAACTAAGTAATATAAAGACAAACATGTTGGTAATTACGATATTATTAGATTAGAAACACATTTTTAAGTACCTGTATTATTCTACAATTTTAATTTGCTTAATATTAGCTACAAATTCACTTACTTGTGGAATGTATGTAATGACGCACACCTTCATTATAACTAAAAATAATCCTTTTTATTTAACTAAAATCAAACCTAATCAAACCACATAAAATACTTTCATTTATTTAGTTTAAAAATTCAAAACACATAGATATGCTTAGATTATTGATAAATCATCGCACGCCGATGACTTATCAATAATCTAAGGAGATATGATTTAAATAATACAACAGACAGACAGACAGTGTAGACACAACATAAGCATGATATGATGCCATTACGGCGGATGTGTCTACAACTTTTCTAAGCATATATAACACATAAGAAAAACGATTTAACTTCATACATACACTACTCACTTGAGGCTGCCAGTTCAAATTGCAATCAACATTTATACCCCAATTTTTTTTCTGTGATATTGATTTTTTGTCCTAGATAGTTGATATTTTAAATTATTTATTTTATTATGTTTTTGATAGAATGTCACTAGTTTTGTTTGTTCTAATTTTATGTTTAGCCAATTCATGATTTTCTCTAAAGCAAAATGTATGTTACTTTCTAAATCTATTTTGTTTTTACTAGTGAAAATAACTGTGCTATTAGGTAAATTGGACCCAGCAGATTGATTTCGAGAAAATAGGACTTTTGTAAAAAGAGTGTGCAAAATGTATATGACGCATATTAAATAATAAATATTTATTAAATTTATGTGGGACATCGAAGCCTTTCTAGGAATACATAATTCATACATGATTATAAGATTTTACTATAAGTAATAATTAAAAAAACGGTTTGGTTCCTTCTGGTAAAAAGCAAATTTGTGGCTTTGTTCCTTTTCAAATTGAACATGGATTTCAATTCCTATCATATTTTTAATAATTTAAAATAAAAAATTTTGTATAGCCGACTTCAATATAAGTTATTAAGAATAACTCAAAAGCTATTGGTCTGATCTTGACACACGAGAAGTACCAGCTTTCAAATAAAAAAAGGAATCATCGAAATCGGTTCACCCAGTAAAAAGTTATGAGGTAACACACGTAAAAATAAACATACAGTCGAATTGAGTACCGTCTCCTTTTTGGAAGTCGCCAGAAAAAAAACACAACTTAAACGTATATAATAATTTATTTAGTTCGTGAATTAGTATTTAGCAATATGAACACGGCGTGGCAACGACGCGCCGCTGCGACGTTACTATGAACTCATCACTTGTCACGGATTAACTTGACTACGGTATTAAAGCTTCTAACAAAATATAAATCAAGAATAATCAATTCGTGAGTACAAAATAAATATTACAATACTATATTCATGTCTGTTATCACAAAATGTGAGAACATTCGCACTATACGACGGTCCGGTCTTATGGTCCATCCATCACACGATAGTAAATCTTTCTAATTAAGTAACAAATAACTTAACTTAATGAGCGGCATGGCTCTACCATTTTTAAATAAAACTAATTTTACGGATTTTATCGCGTATATTAATCTATTTTTATATTCCCGACGTTTCTTTAACGCGGGTTTTAATAGATCTTTTACATAAGACAAACAAAAAGATCTATTAAAACCCGCGTTAAAGAACATATAGCTGACGTGAAGCACCGACGTATCGGGAAGTCTGCAGTTTGTGAACATGTTCAAGATCGTCCCCGCCATTACATTAGATTTGATAGACCACAAATCCTC